TTGAACATTTTAAGCACTGTGAGTTTTTTTTTTAAACAGTAGTGGTTACACGTCAATTCCCTCTACGTTAAGGCTTCAATCGTTTTTATTTTAGTAATACTACATGTTCTAGTAGCGAATTACTCGAGTAAAACTAGTTGTACACTCTATGGAAACGGCATATCGCTGTGGCAGGGCGGTCTTCGGTCTTTACTAAGTCCTGGTCCTTTTTTTTATAAAAAAGACGTCAGGAGTAGAAAAATGACCCTGACCCGACTATATTTCATTGGATTGCCTTCAGTTAGGTCCCGTATTTACTGGTATACAACGATGCTGCATCAAACCCGCAGAGCGGTACCCATGGGACTTTTGTACTGCAGAATTTACTTGTCCATGATGGGCTGTTAATGTAGGAGTTCTTTGAATAATTAAATCTACAACGGAGAACGTCACTTCAAAATGCAATACTACGAGTACTGAAGAGGATAGAGGGTAGAGCCTTCATTCAATACCGTTTTCAGGATGTACCCCCACCTTCGATGCCCATTCAGAATTGTAGAGGCGTTTGAATGCGTATACTACCTATACAATGAATTGCGGTGGTCAGCCGATGTACGTACTTTCATGTCCCAGACGAGTCTGGTTCGGGTTAGACAGCGTCGAATGAATGGAAGGCTTAACTGGATTAGGGAAACGTAGATCCGGGATTTGATCCTTGGACCATGCGTGTGGTAGTCCGCCACTCGCCAATACACCTGATGTCTGATCCTTTTACATCTTGATATACAGTGTTTCAAACTGCTGGTTCAAAAGAGAAAAACGCATCGAATTACAGTTGTTTCAATATAACATAACTTAAGTAAAAGACTGTTTCTTGTAAAATCGCCTTCTTTTTCATTTTTTTTTTTTTTGAATTTCAGGCGTACTTCACTCCGGTGACGTTGTGGATTCATCGTGAACCGGATGTGGTGGCCAAATTTGTAACAATAATGACTGATTATGGCAAGATGCTTGCACTTACACCTCGACATTTAATATTCCGGAACAAATGCGATGGTGAGTGAGTCCGCCCCGGACAAACTGGTTTTCGTTTAATCCCCATTTTACTAGTTCTCAGTAAGTAGAGATTCATTTGAAATCGGCTGTTAGCGAGGGAGGGCAAAGGGAGGAACTTCACTGGAGCTGGGGCTGCTTTTATTGGCTGCGTTCATAGTCCACGATTTGGCCCGCGAGCGCGTGAGCGAGCGAGCCACCGCGGGCTACTCGTCCGGCGGTATCGACAAGGATTCGGTTGTAAAAAAGGGGTGAGCGCCGCCCCTGGTCGCTCGCGCGCTCGCGGGCTAAATCGCGGACTATGGAAGCAGCCATTGCTTTCACCCAGGTGTCTACGTTGTGTATTGAAGGGGGGAGTTGAGCTCTACATTCGACCTACGAATGAGGAAGACGGTATACAGATCCTTAGATGTAATAGTAGTCATAGTAATCGCTATGAGTTCATATCGAACTGATGAAAAAGATTGATTTTCGTATCGATTTTCTCCGGTCAGCCGAAAAAACTTCATAGTCCAGTTATCCGAGTTATCGATTTGCTATATTTGGAAAGAATATTTTTACTCCGGGTTCTTTATTAGATGAGCTATCTGCATCAGCCCTACGGGCTTTTTTCTCCCTGAAAGGCAATTTCTTGACATCACATTGGAAATGACATGCATTTCTTCCCCATCGCCCCCGGGAATGTTGTCCATCATCGAATGCCTCCCTAGTCCACCTCCTCACTTTCACCTCGAACTTCTTATGCTTGTAAAGGTTTTTGCATTTATTTTCGGATGCCCTTCCCCATGTTCGATCCACTCACTTGGTCCCCTTTCAGTAGACAGGAGAGTTGGAATGGTTGTACGATACTGGCCTCCTTTCTAAGCGCTCGTTGACGGAATTAATTGGAAATTGAGCTTGCTTAATCCTATTGCATCCCTTATGTTTACGTCAGTAAACAGAAACATGGCGTTGAAACTGGCCTAACGCCTAGATGCACATTGATTAATAGAGGCTTCAAAACTCTCAGTGTGGGTGGCATTCGAGAAAACATGGTGATTTGGCGTAGAAATAGAGGAACTATGTTAAAGTAATCACTGAACTGCAACAATAACAAGTAATAGCTCCATTCACTTGCCCGATAATAGTAAAATAAACAGGACAACATTCTTCGGACTTCACCAACGATTTCGCTTACCCCTGTCAATGAGCCTCTACGGCTTTTGTGTACACTCCTTTTGGAAGGACAAATAGGGCATTATTTCGTTTGTTTAGAGCTTTTATGGCCAAGTATAAGCAGAAATCCGTCCAGATGCTCTTTGATGTCTTGGGGAAACCTATCTGGGTAGTGGCCCTGATCCAATAGTCGTACAATTTAACATAGAGCCACATAAATGCGTGCATGCCCTGTTCGATCTTTGAGGTTTGGCGTGTACGGCAGAGCACGACATCTCCATTCATCCTCGCAGCGAATTGCAGCTCAAAGATGTAATCAAATAATTCTGATGAGATATGGTAATAATCATATAATTTCTATGGATACGATGCGATAAAAATTACTAGGACTGTATTTGGTACTAGTAATGATGGTGTGACTAATGTATGATAATATTATCAACAGGATGGGATGACTTGAGAAGGGGGAGAAAAACAGCGGCGTGTTTACTTGTTCTTTTATCGTGTGTGGGTTTTTTCACCCGAACGAAATGTCGCGCTCGCAGCATCGCGCGCGGCGAATGGAATGATGAATTTTCGCGGGAGATTATACCTTAGGAATCCGTTGAGAAATACTGCTATCCGCTTTTAGCGATCTTTCCAAGGTGCATTTCCGCACTATCAGAAACTGTGATGTCGCCTCGCAATGTGTTTTAGTAACCAAAACCGAAACACAGCCAAAATTCGGGGTAATCGAGACTTCCGTATTACAAGCGAGTCCTTTCATGGAGGGTTCCTTCTGAAATATGCAAACCACAGTACTGCAGACTAATTTTGTAGAGCAGAAGAAGTACTGCGTACCCTTTATACTTGAATTATGCGCTTTGAGGTATTGAAACTTTGTTGACTTTGCTGGACAGCGTAGCAGTAGGTCATGACGGAACGACGCGCGTTCAATTTCCGCGTGGCCCTTTTTCCGGAGGCACCGCGCGCGGTAAGCGGCAAGTTCGCGCGTCGCCGAGTGTAGTAGTATATCCTATAAATTTCAACTATTTTGATGAGCTTCTGGCAATAATTGCAGGATTCTCATCATTCAAAAAAAGTTTCATGCCTCTTCAATACCGTAGTTTTTCGAGTATTGTGCAAACGTGAAGTCTGCTCTGTTTGCTTGGGTTCAATAAAAGTCGGTCAGTACCAAAAATGGAATTCTACCATTTCGAAACCTCATTTTTCCCTTCCCTTATGAAGTGTGGCCCTGATTTGTACCTTGAAAAACTGCATGTTTTTCAGAATTCTATTCGGATCGTGTCACCGAGTTACCGCCAAACAGTAAAGCCGTCTATGCTGAAGAGCTTGTAGTTGGCGATTGCGTCTTTCTTCTTTATAGGGTTATTTTTATTCACTATTTATTACGCTTGTTTCAGTTCTATTTGCTTATTTACGTATTTATTTATACTTTTGTTCGAATGCACCTCTGATGGGGCAATGGGGGGGGGGGGGGGGA